GTATCGTACCGAGCGAATGTCGAAACGCCACCACGATACGATATTTCAAACATTGGTCTCAATATTATGGTAAATGCCAAATTAAAAGCTAGAATCTATTTAGACTGAAGTATGAACCTCTATTTTCCATAAAATAGAAAACATCATAGTATATCAGCAGCTAAATTTACCAGAGCCATCTGACTTGTTTGGGGGGCCATCACCACCTGATGTAGGCACGACAAGGGGCTGTCTTGATACCTCAACATCTGTGTTACTGTCTATAACTGATAAGGCAGGGATGTTTACATCTTTCTCATTGCAGCATGATACAGGCATAGATGCAGCTTCTTTTGGTTCTACAATTTCAACTTCAGAATGTAAGTGCTGGAGAATTGTTGGATTATCTGCTTGGTTCATTACTGATTCCTTGTCTGATTTCATCACTACATCAGTGTTTTGGGCTTTGGATGAGGAAAATTCTGTATTCTCAATGACAGAATCACAGTCCTTGGAGTTTGTGTCACTTGAATCAATCAATGGTGCAGCATATTCTTTTTCTTCCAAATGAATTATGTTATTCTCTTTTTGTTCAGCCAACGAACTTGTATCAGACATTGGAGCCATCTGGTCATGAACAGAGGGTGAGATCTTATTTTCTGCATCATCCAGTAAAACAGCACCAGGTTCTTTCAGAATAATATGCTCTGAATCATCCAACTGACCACTGGCTTTTTCGACGATTGGTTTTGAGCATTCATCCTTACCACTCCTCTCCAGCTGAACAGGGTCAATCCTGCAGTCATTATCACCATCAACTCCAGCCATCCTTATTTCAGCTTCGAGGGAAGTTGACAACTCTATCCTAACTGCAATGTCTGAAGAACTTCGTGACTCACTACAATTGTTGTCATCAATATATGGCTTGGATGTAGCAAGGTTCCTTTCTTCTTCAGAACTAGTGATTTTGCTTGCATTGCTTGATGTAGCTTGTAGCTGGATATAATCATGTTTAGATGAAAATTCATGCACATCATGGCTAAAATCTACAGGTCCTGCTGCCTCACATAGCTCAGGAATATCTTCAGTGACAACTTCAGCAGAGTTCTTTTCAACCTTCTCATCTCTTCCCACCGCTACAGAAGGCAACACCTTTGTCAAAGCTGAACTTTCATCCTTTTTCCTTATGTCCTTGTTCAGAACTGCTACTGGGTAATCAATAGCATCATCAGAGTTCTTAAAGAACAAGGAGCTACTGGATCCTTCATTCAGCAACACCAGAGAATCTGTGGGTGTAACCAAATCAGAAGAAGCCTTAACATTTGAAACATTATTATCAACAGTATGGTGTTGAAAAGGCTGATCATCCACTTTGCAAACACCATATAAAGAAAAACATGTTTCATTCTGATTTTTCTCAGATTGCTGAGCTTCTAGTCTCCCACTCACGTCAACCTCATAGCATTCTTCAGCTTTTTGCTCAGAGAATAATGCACTGTCCATCTTACAAGTGCCAATACCTGCACTTTCAGTTGGTACACTTGAAGCACCATCTTGAATACTAGAAATAAAATTTGGACTTGCTTCAATATCCCTGTTTACATCACAACCGTGATCATCAAGTAAACTATTGTTCATGGATGCATTATCCAATGGTTCATTGTTCTGAACTGCCTCAAAAGACTCCCCAACAACCAAACATACTTTAGAATCATCACCGGATGAAGCTAACTCTTCATTAATGGTACATTGTGAAGCTTCCACCTTCCCGGTAGAGTGTAACTTTTGATCCAATGAACTTGCATCCATGCCCATTTCTGAATGTTCCTTACTGGAAGTTTGAGAATTAACTCCAACTTGCTCGACCTTAAGTACCTCTTCATTTGACTCCAAAATGCTATTATGAAATTCATCAGCCAGAAGGGTTGAATTAGTATCCACAATACTCTTAGTTTCACAGTTGGTAGAATCTTCTACTGCATGTGTTTCTGATGCTGTATTCATAACTTGTGAACTTACCATCTCATTATCTTCAACAGAATTCACTAAAATCTGTTCAGATTCAGATGTTGGAACATTGAACCAGATGTTGTCATGCCCAGAAATGGATGTTTGAGCAGAATTTGAACCGAATTCTGCTGCAGTGTTTCTAGGTGAGAACTCCTCAATCCAATTGTTTTCTTCACCTTGAATGCCAAGTAAAAGCCCTGTTTCAGATAAACTGTCAAACCTTAGATGAGCCTGAAAGTGATCATCTATATCAAATTTTGGTGGAGCATATGACTGTAAGTTTTGAGGAAAGCCATCATTGTCCTCTTCGATCAGTTGAAAATGCTGGTTTTGAAAGTCATTATCATCATAATCCATGGATATATCCCTGCAATGAACCAAAATATTCAAATCAAGAAAAGCCAATGCCACATTAACGTGTTAGGAGAAATTCCAAATTAACAAGCATAATATATGCCATAGATGAGAAAGCTCAGATTGTAACAGTACAATTGCCAATTGACACAAAAAACCCCATGGTAATAACAGGGAACTTGAGATACAACAAGGTTCTTCATTCACACATCATTCCAGGAAAGAAATTTAATCAAAAATTAACACAACTATTTCAAAAAGGAAAGAAACAAGGAGATATTTCAGAATGTAAAAGATGCCTAGTAACAAAACACAAAAAACCAAATTGACTGCTAACATAAATACACATGTGCCATCAGTATGCAGATCCCGAACCAAATACGAGACAGAAATGTAAAGTCAAACACAGCGAATATCTCTTAACAGAATATAAAGAAAAGTCTAGAACCAAATTAAAACAGCCAAAAATCCTTCCAATTGGATTCAACAGATCATTCATGTCATAACACATAAAAAGAAAGTAAAAAAAACATTGAGGTTACCGTTCCTCCTGACCTTCACTTTACCAAGTAACCTAAATCCATATTCTTTTCTCTGCAACCTAAATCCATATTCTACTACTTGAGAGTCTCTTTCAGAAAGAAAATTCTAACTTTCAACTGATAACTGTGTCTGTATCCATATGATTATGTAGAGATCAGAACCTTTGCCAGTCTGTTTATGCCGTAAATGCAACAAAGATGCACTACATAAAATAAATATTAGAATGTGCTATAAATTGCAAATATAACATCTTAAATTATTCCATTTTAATTCACGTTTATCTATTAATTTGATTTATCTATTTTTATTTTTCAGTAGATGGTGGGCCTTGATCCATTGGTAAGATTGTTTCTTTGTGACATAGGAGACCACGGTTCGAGTTTTGGTAATGTATGATTGCATGCCTACATTGACCTTCCTCATACCACATTGGCATGTGCCTCATGCACTAGGTTCGCTCGTTTTGTTTTTTAATGCTTAACTTACATCTCATCAAGTTCATTGGGGAGTACGATGTTCACACAGCAGTAAACACTAAAGCCCAGAACCATCAAGGACATACTACTTCCATAAATCCAGTAAAATTTAACTGACTCATGCTAGCTACAAAATTCCAGACTCTGCATTTCCGACCAGATCTTCATGACAACATTTTCCATACTTGTCATTACAACATTCAAAGGTATACTTGTACATCTGTAACAGGCTAACCCAACAATCTAAAAGAATGTGCATAATGCAAGCAGAATTCCTGCATAATACATATGCAGTATGAATGTCTGCGTCTATGAAACATGTATTCTTTTCTATAATAAAATGCAAGGCCCGTTCCCAAAATTTAGGGAAGTTGCATAGATTTATGTATCAAATACATGGTGACAAGGGGGATTCAAGTGAAAAGCATAAATTGTAATAAACAATTTATTGAAGTTAGGTAAATATTTTAGCTTTCCAGAAGAAGATTGTATGGACGTGTACATACAAAGAGGTTGAAATCATAAAAGAGGATGAATTGTCATGACATGAATATTCATCACGACAAGAATACTCATGAGCAGTAACTTCAGTTCTAAATAAATCAGGCGTAAGCATTAAAATATACCAACCACCAAATTCACCATGGCCTAATAGCTTCTAAACGACAAATCCCAACATGACAACAAGTATAGATAGTGAACAGGATCACTCAAACTTCAATTTCTTTGGAAAGGATAAGGTTTTTTCCTCTCAGTTCAGCATAATCCTACATCAATTATATAACAGTACCAGGGCAACTTTAATAGTTCAAAATATATCCTAAATTTCGAGGAACAGTTCCATTCCAACCATGTCTACTGAGCTGTAAAGGGTAATGTAGCGCAGCAAAAAAAAAACAATTCTGATGAATGTTGTAGCAATCAACTCTTTTGCCAATAAATAGAATAATCATAGGCCATGCACATGTCTGTACCATAGAAAATCCAAGAACCAAGGCCCACGTCCACGATTCGCAGAAAAACCTCCAGTTTTCGAGAAGGAGAAAGCAAGATGGGCGACAAGGTACAAAAGCCCGCTTAGATCAAATCAAGCGCATCAATAACCTTAACTCACCACCGTGCCAATCATAGCGAATCAAAAGCAAAATCCTTCACTGCCTTTCACGCCAAATCCAACAAATCAAAAAGCAGTTTAAAAGCAACAAAACTGGCAAAACGAGAAGAAACACGCACCAAAGAAGGAGCGGCTAAGCTTCCACCACCCTCCATCCGGAGACGAAATCTTGCCTCTTCAGCGCGCCAACCCCAAATCCCACGCAGATCCGCGGGCTCTCATTCGCCAAGCGCATCAGCGGTCGTCGGAACTCTCCGTTCCGCGCAAAAAAACCCTAGATCCGATGTCTTTTGGCATGAGCCCTCGCGGCGGCGACAAAACCCTCGAAGGCGGGCGACGAATTCCCCGGCGGATTGGAGAACGAAGTCGAAGTGACGGGCCGAAGCGGAACAACCAAAAAAGCCACCCTTTTTCCCGTCTTCTCTCCACTCTCGTTCTTGTTCTTTTCGGCGCTCGCTCTAATCCTGCGGCCACTCGCTCCCACTCGACCCAGTCTTGGGTTGGAGTAGTATTTGACGATGACCACAGCCCTCCTAGGTTCAATCACAGCCGTTCATTGACATGAGCCCCCGCCTCGATTCGAAACTGTGGCGGTCAGAACACAAATTTGGGCACCTACGCCTTGGAGACGATCCTCGAAAAAGGAGCGCCACAGCTGACGCGAAGCTTCCGATCCCGTCATGATTTGGGTGGATAATCACGGTATTGCCCTCCTCCGGGAGCATCGCGTGGCACGTGCCTCGCGGGAGTTGGTCGATGGGTCCCCCGGCGTGGTTATTATTGTGGTGGATGTGTCCCGGACACGTGCCGGTCACGCGCGCGCGCACACACACCCCATATATATATAT